GGTACACATGTCCTGGCGAGATCCGATGCCCGTGAGGTGGCCTTGCGTGGCTCTGATGTCCTCATTCCCCGTGTCGTTCTTGCCTCCCTTCCCCCCTCTTCCCCCCTCGCTCCTTCCTTAGGTGGGTAGACTCGCTGATGGCCCGCGGGAATGCCCAGCCGCTGGAGATGGAGGATTTGTGGCACGTGGCGGAGGAGGTGAGGGGGGTGAAAAGGAGCGAGGGAGGGAGGGAGGGGGGTAGGGAGGGGGGGAGGAGAGGGACAGAGGAGGAGGCGATGGAGGAGCGACTTGCCACCTCTCACGCCCGAGGGTCGTTTTCCTCCCTCCTTCCGCTCCTCCTTCCTTCCATGTCGTACAGGACAAGATGAGCAAGCTATCTCAGGAGTTTCAAGCCGTCTACGCGGCGGAGGCCGAGAAGGCGGATGGCCGGTAAGACAAGAGGGAGAGAGGCTCTTACCGGAAAGCTCGCACGCTCCTTGCACCTATTTTCTTCTTTCTGGATGCATTGCTTCGGTCGGAAGCTATCATTTCCTCCTCCCCTTGGAGCCTGCGTCTCGTAACCGCCACCAGGAGTGAGGTCCTGCTCCATTTCCCCCTTCCCACCTCTCGCCGAGCCTAACCCCGACCCTCCCTCTAATCCCCCCCCCATTCCCTCCCTTAGGGGCGTCCTGCCCGCGGTCCACAAGGAGGAGCGGGAAAGTCCTCGCACCACTTGGGCCCAGGCCCCCTTGATCCGCACTTTCCTCCGGCTCTTCCGCCTCCCGCTCTTGACCACGGGCGTCTTGCGCTTGGCTGTCAGCTGTGTGCAGTTCTTGCCCCCTCTGCTGATCGCCCGACTCCTCCGGCTCTTGGAGGCAGGAGGTGCGTCGGAGGGGCTTGTCCTCTGCTTTCAGCACCATTTCTTGTCCGTGTGCGGTCCTCGCGTCCACAGCACGGGCACTCATCCCTGAGTCGAGGCATCTGGTCGTCCGCTCTGGCGGGTCGGCCCTGCAGTCTCTCATCGTCTACTTTCCCTCCACTTATCCACGTCCGTACCACCATCCCTTCCCTCCCCCATGTCCGCTTCCCGCCCCTCCCAGGCGGCCTCGATGTCCGCAGCGGCTACAAGCTCGTCCTGTGCTTGGCGATGACGCTCATCGCCAAAACGGGGGTGGAGAACCAGTACTACCACCACCTCTCCGTGATGGGCCTGCAGGTGCGGCCCTTCCCTTTCCGCGGCTATCTCTCTCCCACGTCTCCCTCAAGCCTTTCATGCGACTTGTTCGCCCCTCCATGCTCTCCTTCGACTTGGGGCCACTAAATGGCTCGCTTCCCATGCATTCCAATGAGGCTTTTTTTGTTCCCTACAGTCCTGTTCGGCCCCCTCATCTTTCTCCCTTTCCCCCGGCGTCTTTCCATCATCACCTCTGATACACGCCCCCCCCCCTCCAATCCCTGCTTGCCTTTCACCCTGGCCCTTCCACTCTTAGATCCGAGCACTCATTGCCACGGCCGTCTATCAGAAGAGCCTTCGCCTCTCTCCGGCTGCCCGTCAAGTGAGAAAGGGGGGGGGGAGGAAGGGGTTGAGGAGGGAGGAACGACGGGAGGAAGCAACGATGGGTGTCGGGGGACAATAACTGAAAGGACCACGCGTTCTGCCGCTTCTCTTTTCCCTTCCAGGCCTCCACTGTGGGAGAAATTGTGAACATGATGCAGTTGGACGCCGCTCGTCTGGAGGGCGTCGCCTCCTCTGTGCACGTAGGTCGGGAGGGAGGGAGGGAGCCAAAGAGGAAGGAAGGGAGGGGGATGAAAAAGAATGGAATTGATGGGTGTGCGGCGTTCACTGTTTGCAAATACAAATATTCCAGAAATCTGGGTAGCGAGGTACATGCAAGGAGTTACGAAGCATGTGCCTGTAGACCGTGACCCCTCCTCTCATCCCTGCTCCCCTCCCCCCCCTCACCCTCGAAGACCCTATGGAACGGTTTGCTGGACATCGTCGTATACATGGCCATGCTGGTGGCCTGCATGGGCCCCTCAATGCTTGCAGGTACGGGGGTGGGAAAGACGTCAGGAAGCGGGGGCGGAGGAAAGGCGGAGGGAGGGAGGGCGGGAGGGTGGATGGATCCAGAGGGAGCCCGGTGAGTAGGGCGGAGTCTGGACTTTCTCAAGGCCTGTCCCCCTCCCGTTCTCCCTCCACCCTCTTCCTGCCCAGGTATTTTGATCATGGCGAGCGTCATTCCCCTCAACGCGGTCTTTCTCGGGATATTGGCGAAAGCCCGAGAACGTACGCTTAAATCCACGGACAGCCGGGTAAAGCTGACCAACGAGGTGCTTCAGGTGCGTCCGAATGCTTTGCCTGCCCTCTTGTTTGTTTCGTGGCGTTTGCTCGTGGTGTTGAACGTGTCTTTTCCCCTTCTGTTGCCCAAGGAGGGGGCTTAGATCTACGCTCCTGGACGAATTACCGTTTCTTGGTGGCCGCTGAAGGGGTGAAATGCCATCGTCCTCCTTGTATTGCTTGCTGTCATCGTCTCGTCATCAAGACTGTTCCCGATACCTCGGCACCTCTTTCCTCGCATTTCTTCTCTATTTTTTTTCTCCTCATGTCCCCCCCCTTGCATTTTCCTCCTCGACCAGGGTATCCGTTCCATTAAAAGCTACGCTTGGGAGACGCCCTTTCTGAAGCAAGTGGAGGCAGTTCGCGCTCAGGTAATCAATCCACCTTGCATCCTTCCCTCCTTCCCCTCCTTTTGTCTCCCTTTTTCACCCTTCCTGCCACTCCCTCTCCTCTCCCTCTCGCTTCTTCCATCGCTACCTTCCCTCCGTCCCTCCCGTGGGCCCTCCCCCCCTGCAGGAGCTGTCCACTATCATGTCAGCGGCCAAACTCCGGGGCGTCCTCGTCGCTTTCCTGGGCGCCACGCCCTCCATCGTCTCCATGGTCACTCTTTGGGCCTACGTAGCCCTCGGCAACACCCTCTCTGCCTCCAAGTAAGCTTCTCTTCCCCTTGACTCCCGTCCGCTCCCTCTCCTGAACGTGCTTGGTCCACCACACCAACTCGGACGAAGACGCGGTCTCCCCCTCCCCACCGAGCAATCTCCGCCTCTTTCATCCGTCATCGTGTGTTTTATTTTCCTTTCTCCCGCGGGGTTTCAAGGAATACCAGTAAAATCTCTCGGCTTTGCTCTCGACCTGACCACGATCCATGCCGAAGTCATCCACCGCCTCCTTCCCCACTTTCATTCCTTTGCTGCTCCCTCCCTCGTTTTCCTCCCAGGGTCTTCACGGCCCTCGCCCTCTTCAACCAGCTTCGCTTCCCCCTTCTGTACTACCCGATGGTCATTGCGGCGTTCGCGGAGGGACGCGTGGCTTTGACCCGCCTCCAAAACTTCCTGGACGCTCCGCAAGTGGAAGGGTGGGGCCCTTTCCCTCCCGTCCTCTGTCTGTTCTTCGTGGTCCCTGCCACCGCACGTCTCCTCCTCCCACCATGTTTTCCTGCCTCGCCTTAGTCTTTCCTCCGGCGTGTATCATGGATTGTGCCCTTCCCTTCCTTACTTGATCCCCCTTTCCCCTTCCAGCCAAAGGCTTGCGGAGCCTTCCCCCGCGTCGATGACCAAGTCGCTTCTCACTCACGAGAAAGTAGCGACCACACTCGCCGGAGCCCACTCAGGGGCTGCGAGAGGACAAGGGGAAGGAGTGGGCATCCATTTGCACGACGCCTCCTTCTCCTACGCCGTCCAGGCCAATCGTCCTGCCCCGGGAGCTCAGGTAAGGAGCATCGGCGGGTGTAGCCTTCCTTCTCCCCCACGCCATGCGAACCCCCCTGCCTCCTTGTCTTCCTCCTGATTCTCTCTACATCTCTGCATCAATTTTACACTCGCTCCCCGCGGTCGCCCCAAACCGTCGGTCCTGAGGTACCCTCCTACGTCATTTGACTCCACAACGGGCTCTGTCCCTCCCTCTTCCCCCTCCCTTTCCCTTCCCGTGCATCCTCAGGCCGCCTATTCGGAAGACGCCACGCGGCTCCGCAATTGCTCCCTCTCCGTGGTGCCTGGAGAAGTGGTAGCCGTGGTGGGGAGTTTGGGCAGTGGTAAGAGGGAGGGAAGGAGGGAGACGAGGCAGGAGGGGAGGGGTGGTGGAACATGGGAGGGAGCAAGGAAGGAGGTGCTGGAAAGAGAGCAGCGGTCGTAGGGATGAGAGAGGGAGGAAACGAGGGAGGAAAGGAGAAAAGGAAGGACGGGAGCGGTGATGGGATGAAAGGGAGAGAACGGGAGCAGGGAAGGGAAAGTAGTCGCGAAGAAAGGAAGGGGCAGTCAGGCACGAGAAAAAGGGTAGGGAAGGGCACTCATGAAGGGTTGATGTCCACACATGCAGGCAAATCTTCCTTGGTCCGCGCGCTCCTCGGTGAGATGAGTTTGCTGAAGGGTGACGCAGGTGCCGAGGGAGGGTGGGAAGGAGGGGCCCCTCTACATGCTCTGCATGCCCTGACTCATGACGACGACCGCCACGTGGAGGAAGGAGGGAGGGAGACAAGGAGGGAGGGAGAGGGACCCCGGGGGATCGTGCGTGTGGAGGGCTCCCTCGCCTACGTGCCGCAGACCGCCTGGGTGCCGAACGAAGCCTTCCGGTGCGTTTCCTCCCTCCCTGCTCCGCTTCCTCCCTCCCTTTTCCTCTCTCTGTGTCTTTCTCGGTGCTTCCATTTCCCCCTCTCTTTCCTTGTCTTGGGTCTCCTTCCTAGACCTGGTATTTACATATGTCGCTCGTGCATTCCCTCCCTTTTCCTCCTCCGTATCAGGGACTGCGTCCTCTTCGGCTCCCCTTACGATGCAGTCAAGTACCAACGGACCCTTGATGCGTGCTGTCTAGGTCCCGATGTGGCCCGTTTGGAAGCCAGTGAGGAGGGCGGGACGGGGAAGGGAAGGGGAGAGGGGGGAAATTCAGAGGGGGGCAACGGAAAAATCGGTCTGACAACTTGTATGATGCCATGTACGGGTGAAAAGAGGGCTGAAAGTAGGATAAGGGTGACGGTGGGAGTCATCTCCTCCCTCAGGCTGCTCAGACTGTTTCCGCCCACCCTACCTCACGCCCTTTCTATCATCCCCCCCCTGCCTCTCCTTTCCCCTCTCTCTTGTCAGGCGATCAGACGGAAATTGGTGAGCGAGGCGTCACCCTCTCCGGGGGCCAAAAGCAACGCTTGGCCCTAGCACGAGCCGTGTACGCCGACGCGGATATCTACTTGTTGGATGATCCGTTCTCGGCTCTAGACGCGCAGGTAGGGGAAAGGAGCGATGATAAAGAAGGCGGGAGGTGGTCGGGGCGTCATAATGCGCTTGTCTCGGAATAAGAGGAAATAATTGGGCTCAGTTGAACTGCATGTGCATCATGTACGACTTCATTGCTTCTGCCGGCATCCTCGTGCGGGCAAGTCCCGTGTTGGATAAAAGACTTACTCAATCGAAATATAAATGTGTATACATTGTCGTCGAAGTATATATATATATATATAATATCATGCGACACGAATGAAGTTGGCGAGGAAATCCGTTGAAGCTCTGCTGCATGTCTAACCCCTGTTCCTGTCCCTGCAGGTGGGGCGACAAGTCTTTGAGAACTGCCTGAGGGACCCCAAGGTATGCTTCGCCTTCCTCCTTCCCTTCCCCCCTTGCTTCCAACCTCCCTTACGCTTCTCCGTACCACATTGTCTTGACCTCGAACTTGTCAACGGACCCTCAATGGCTCCTCCTTCCCCCCTTCCCTTTTTTCCAGGGACCTTTGGCCGGGAAGGCCGTAGTCCTGGTCACGAACCAGCTCCAATTCCTCCCTTACGTGGACAAGATCGTGGTAATGGGCCCCATGGAAGGTGGGAACGGGGACGTGGGGATCATTGACCAGGTGGGGAAAGAGGGAGGGAGGGAGGCAGGGCGGGAGACAAAGTGGAGTTACGGTTATTCACAATCATGGTATGGGTGGGAATGTGGAGCAAGGAAGTCGGCTTGGAGCGAGGAGAGGAGGGAAGGAAGGGAGGAGAGGAGGGCAGCAGGGCACGATGATGCGGGTCTCAAAGGGGGATCATCATACTCTTTCCTTCCCCACGCTTGTCATTGATTTCCATCCTTTTCTCACGGTCCTTCGGTGCCCACGCCAGGGACGGTACTGGGACTTGATCGCGCGAGGTCACGATCTGGAGAGCATGCTTGCCAGCTCGGCCACGGCCGCCGCGGCCGCCTCCCCTTCTCCCTCCCACGACGAGACCGAGCGCCAGGGCGAGCACGGACACCACGCAGACATAGGGGTCGCTGCAGCGGCCGCCGGCGGTGCATCTGGTGTCGGAGACGAGCAACATGCGAGCTACCACCAGCTCCACGCGTCGGATGAGGAAGGGATGGAGGGGGAGCCCCTGCTGGCCATGGAGGAGCAGGGAGTGGGGGAGGAAGTGAGGGAGGAAGGGCAGGAGAGGGGCAAACTGATGAAAGAGGAGGAGAGGATCACAGGGGCGGTCAAGGCGAAAGTATACAAGTACGAAGGGGGGAGAGGAAGAGAGAGAGGGGGAGGGGGCCGGGAGAGAGAGTGGAGGAAAGGGTTCGAAGACAGGGGAGTCTGGAGGCTTTTGTAGGCTCTCTAGACCGTCAGTCGGGGGAGCAAGGGGTCAACTTCCTCGTCCGAGACTCGTCTTTTGATCCTCCCTGTTTTTCCCTCTCCCTTCCCTTTTTGGCCCATTTGCTTGCGCAGGGCCTATCTGGGCGCTGTCCGTTCCCCTCTCCTCATCCTCCTGGCCGTCATCTCCTTCGTGGTCGCCAACGGCACGCAGTTCATCCAGCAGGTCAGGGAAAAAAAGGGAATGGGAGCGTAAAGGTTGAAGAGGCAGGGGAAAAGGACAAAAGTAGCCAGACAAGTATTTTGTGGGGGGAGCGCACATCCGAGTGTAGGGCAATGCCACTCCCCTTGTCATCGTATTCGTCACCTACTCGTTCCCTCCCTCCCTCCCCCCTCCCCCT